GAGTACCCTCAATTCAACAAACTGAATAACAAGCCATGAAACCTTCACTTCAAACCAGGCCAGCCCTTTTCAAGGTCGCCTTTATACTTTGTAAGTTGCTCTGACGGCGAACTTCTCTTTATGCTCCGCAGTACCTTCGCGCCGCAACACGCGCGGGCCCACGGTTTAATGGAGTGAAGGCAGATCCAGTTTTATGGGACTGGGAAGACCCAAATCACTCGTTCCATCTCATGTTCGACCTTCTTGAAGACATGTCATTCACTAGAATTCAGTTGTTAGGCAATAACGTTCCTTTTCATTTCAATCGCGCAATATGACCGATTCATTAACACGTTGACGACATGCGCGTTTTTACTTTTTGGCCGCGTGGGACACGCGCGTTTTCTCGAACGCAACCAGCGCGGTACACACATAGTTCAGACGATCCCACGAGGCGCTTTTTTGGAAATTGGATCGGAAAACTGGATTAGAGCGCAGTTATGAAGTAAGTTAATACTTCAGTATAGAAAAAACCTGGCTGGCTAACTCTCGTTGCACTAGATGCCAGAAATTCGTCCGCAACCAATGTTTTCATAAAAAAAGGTGTCGTGCCCTCTATAGCGTTCAGAATCCTTCACCCTATAATTTTTACCATTATCAACATTGTATCGATCAGCATTTCTCAGCTAAGTGTTGGAGAGCAAACCATTCCAGTGTTGAAGAGCAAATCAGTCCGAGCAAATGGTGATCTTTACCCAAAAAGTATTTGCTAAACTAGTGTGTACTGAATTATTCCATGGACTACGCATAGTACGAGTACACCAGGGTCTGAACTATACAATGATTAAGAGAAACTAACTAAAAAACCATGAGATAAGAGCGGTTTAATTAACCGGTGAAAAATGAATTGGAATGAAATTGAAATTGAATGCAGTCGACACCTCTTAACTTGCATGATCGGATATTAATAAACACTACGGAGAAGAGGTCTTCTGAAGAAGCTCCGACAGCCTGCAACTCCCGAACCCGGCCGGACTAATATAACAACTTCATATAGAAAAAATAGCGATTTTTAACCAGAAATTTATGTATTCTCTTTTTCTCTCTCTTCTTCTTTTTCTTTATTTCTTTAATTCTCTGGTTGCTGGGCTTTATTATTGGCGGTAAGCATGGAGCACACAACGCCATAAAAACGTATACAGACAACGCACCAAAATTTGATCCATTTTCGAGTAGGGACCACCAACTACGAGGCAGTCTTACTCTATGGACCCGGCTCTTGTATCTATGGAGATCTTTAGTAACCTAAAAAACCTGCACTCTGAAAGATTATGGAATTCTTTGTTGATCGTGAGTTGTATAGTATGCACGCTGTCCCACATGGCCTACAACGCATGCATTCAATGTGTCTCACGCTGTCGTCAATGTGTCAAAGGCATTCTTGCGACTGGATGTGTTAGACATAAGAGTTCATAAAAGAGTCAAAGCAGTACACTGTGTTGGCTCAATTACTAGTGAAGAAGAAAGCATGACAAATCGCCTCTGCTAAGCTCTTTGCAATTGAACATCGATTTAGTCCTGATGGCTACGGAGCGCAAGATGGCTAAAGTAAACTAGGCCCATAATACATACTAGGAAGCGAGAGCGAGTTCTCATGTTTAATGTAGTGCTGCAGCCTGTGCGATCGCGTACCGTACTTAACTCTTGCGTCATCCGTGAGTGCGTGCCTACTTCAAACTAAACGAAAGCTGTATAAGCGCGTGCTTCTGGTGCAATGCTTTTCGGTTTGGACCAGTTGTTGCTCACTTGTTCTCTACAAACACTGAATAAGTTATGTATAGCCCTGTCTATTAATGATGAAGTATTCCCACGACACAATTCATTCTATCGGCTACGTTCAATGAGCTACTGTGCGTTCTCGGGATGAATACCTCCAGTTTACGTTTGTACACCTTTATAAGAGCATACTCATATCTCAAAACCTGGGAATCCCTGTACTTTTGAAGCTATGCTATATAATAAAGTTATGAAGGTGCGACACCTTCTAAATCGGTACTGATAATCGTATTTGCGTTGTACTGAACTTCTCTTTATCCACCTTATAGGAGCCACACTTTCATTCTCATTGCCATCTACCACCATCGTCAGTCATTGTCAACTTCTGCTGAAGGTAGCCCTGAATCGGACACGAATGTGAGCAGGGAGCGTAGTGTACAAACTCAACACTTGTGTTGGGACAATGGGGCATGGCGACGTGATAACAATATGAATGTGATTTCACACCGTATGCTTCTTGGTATTTCTCAGTCTGGTGTCTCGCTCGTACGCGCAATCTCTTCTCTCGAAAAATCCCTGCTGCTCGATAACAATCGTATAATTTCAAGCGTCCTTGACTTTTTTCCTGCTTTCCCTCGACGACTGAGTTACTTAACACGTTCGCAGCGGCGACGTTCCGCCAAAAACTCCCGTTTCTCGAGCGACGCGTTCGCGGCAGGCAACACTTTGGCAATCGTCCCGTTTATGGTTCAGCGCGCTCGCGACGGATATAACTTTGTCAAAACTCACTAAAGTCGTTTTTGCCATCCTTTCAACATTTTCCCTTCTACAGATTTTATCTCATTTTCGGTAAATGAACTAGGTTTCTTGCCTCCCTTTGAAGTTGGGTGGAACCGGACAAAGACGATGTTGATATCTTCTTAATATTAATGTGGTATTAATTTGTGTTATCTAATGTTGAAGTTAATACCTCTTGATATTTATGTTCATGTCGTCTATTTTATTATTGTATAAACTGTCAGTGAAAAGAAGAGAATTGAAATCATAAGAAAACAAGTGAAGTGGCGCGTGTACTTCTGTGAGTAAGACATTGGCCGAAAGAGAAGAAGTTTTCGCGTGTTTTTTTTTCGGAGTACACGCCTCTTCTGATGTGTGGATATTATTTATCTATTGTTTGTTTTATTATCCGTATATAATTATTAGCGAAAAAATATATAGCAAAATCGAGCAAAGAGGCGCGCGTACTCCTGGGAATACACGATTCACCCGAAGAGAAAAGTTTTTAAGTGTTTTTCGGGTGTACACGCCTCTAATAATGTGTGAATATTGTTTCTCGATTGTTTGTTTGATTATCTGTATCCAATTCTTAGTGAAAAAGGAAAAGAAAATACCAAAAACGAGCGAATAGGCGCGTGTACTCCCGGGAGTACACGATTCGCCGAAAGCGGAGTTTTTTCGTGTACTCCCGGGAGTACACGCCGCCGCGAACGTGTTAATATCTCGAAAAATCGTATTCGAGCCCTGAAGCTCACAGGTTGTAGTCACAAAATGTGATATCAGAACTTTCACGTTCGACATTGATTCTGGCCAGCTAGAAAACACGTTGGCATTCTGACCTCTCGGACTAATCTTATGCCGAGAAACCGACTCCGGAAAAATGGAAGGTTTCATCTATCCGAGTGAGAATCAGTCCGAAATTTGATCCCTGTACAAAACAAGTGGTGGTAGCTCCACTTGTCATTCTCTTTCATCCTGAGCACGAATGTTTGAATACATGTCGAATGACAACTGAATATGTCCTACTGTAAGTAATTTATGATCACTGACATACAGCCTCTTCAGGTCCAAATCCACGCACCTGTCGGCTGGAAGGCCGCATGTATGATGACAAAGAACTGGTCGCTACTTGTGCTGGTGCCCAAGTTATTAAACCTCATCCCGGCTACTATCTCACCGTTTCGTCTGAAAAAGTGTCAGAACAAGAAATGAACGCCTTATTCTCAGAAGCCATTTCCGCGGAGATCTGCGTAATTGTAGAAGACTCCAATTACAGAAGCTTACGGTTCCCACGTCTACGTAACATACAGCCATGCTTACCAGGTGAGTACAGTTCACAATCACTTCCCTCCGACATTTGTTTGACTGACGCGCGCACATGCTTCAGCACACGGCTGTGACGCGAGTTGTGAATTAGTGACCCTTTTCTAAGGCCGCTTGCTAACTCTTGTATGCTATTATCATTTCCTCCACCCACCAATGATGTTCACGTCCAGCCCCAGCCCCCCCCCCCCCATATACTTCTTAGAACCATTCTACCATTCCTGTAACGCAAATTATGAATCTAATGGCCCTCCTCTTTGAAGGCCCTGCCAGTCATTGTCAGCTGTTTCCTGCCACTCACTAATTATGTTCATGTCCAGTTCTTCGCTACATCACTTTTCGGAAGCAACACTCCACGTTGCTGCGATGCGAGTTTGAATTTAGTGACCCTCTCTCTTTGCCACCTTTTTCCAGCTGCTATCACTTCCACTAACCAATGACGTTCATGTCCATACGCTTATATCACTTCTTGGAGTCAAAGTTTCACCATTGCTGCGACGCGAGCCATGACGCCCGCTTGTAAGAGCCCTTGTTAGCAGTTATCACCTCGTGGCCACACCACCCCACCAATATGTTAACTTCACAACACTATCTGTTTGAACCCTTTACGACTAACTTGAAGGGATATGAATTCCCGGTGTCAAACTCACTCACACATATACACACATAGAAACACACACACAACAGACATTAGCGAATTATATATGGTAGGATTCTTACGGAATCTCACTCTTTTTCAGGAAGACCGGCCATGAGAATCGTGGCCAATCTTAAGCTCGAGGAACTGTTCTTCAATCGAGGCATTGCCTTCCCACCAGGATCTATGGTCCTCGAGATCGCCGAAAATCCCCGTATTCCCCTCAACGTCATTGAGTGGTTGCAGAGGATGTGCCCTTCTTGCAAAGTTACGGCCAATTTAGGTATGATGTTTACTTGATTGTCGACTGTTGTTACTACTTATTGTTTATTCAATCAAGTGTATAGTTTTAGCTCATTGTCGAAGGTTGAACCTTTCCAGGCTGTGATTTGGAAAGGCGCATTTATAGCCAGAGTGAACTCATAGATGCTTGTGCTGGAAAGAGAATTATACGTCCAGCGAAAGGATTTATGCTAGTGCTCAAATCATCAGAAACTTCTGAAGATGCTATGAATGCCCTATGCTCAAAAGCTATCTTCATGCAGATCTGCCTCGATATTTATGAATCAAACTTCAAAACCCTTAGGTGTCCACATTTGAAACAAATAGTACCATGTCGACCAGGTGATTTTCTCAGGTTTACTTCTAAACAGGGCACAGGGTCCTCGCGTTCGGTAAAAAAATTCGCAGAATAGACCCCACAACATTTCCTTCTCTGTTATGATCTACTCCCCTATCCCACATACCATCTTCAGAGATTCCACCAACTTCCTCCTACCTCTTTTCCCGTAAAAAAATTCGCAGAATAGACCCCACAACAGAGTTTTTTCTCCTCAGGAGATTCCAACCCCCCCCCCCCACCGGCTTCCCCCCTCGAAGAAAAAACCGTTGAGCTGGAATATATATTTATAATACACACGAAACAGAAAAAAATACTGATAAGCCAACAAGTGAAAACATGTCCTCCATAGGCGGATTTAATCCCTCCATGGCACCAATCAAGACCATATTCTAGCTGCGGGTCCGGGTTCAAAACGCTACATTCCTGTCTCTCTCTGATTGTGTAGTTCATATCTTTAGCCCGAGCTTTCACCTTTTACTAATCACGTATGAGCATCCGCAAATACTACCATTTCGCATTCAATAGCAGCACGCAGACGGCGCTTTCTTACAGAGGCATTATGTCCTCATCAGGGCGAAAAAGTCTGCCACATTATTCGAATGAAATTGGGACGAGGATAATTTTCATTGACGAATTCACTCTTCAAAGCACACACACGCACGCACACACATACACACCAACAAACAATTTTAGCGTATTATATGTATACTAGTCGGATCAACCGGGTGCCGGGTGCTCCTCCTTCTCTTTCACGGGCCTGGCTTCGCCAGGCACTCTTCCTTGGTGAGGTAGAGGGTGGGGTGTGCGCTAAATGTGCCAAATGATGCATGTATTTTTTTCACATAAAGTGTAGGAAATGAGTTTGAAAAGCCTTAACATCAGGCATGTCTACCAACATCTGGTCCCTCTCAACACTTCAATGGACGACAAAAATGTGCGCAGATGGTATCTTACCTGTTTCTGTCGATTGATAAGACCACCTGTCTCCGTCATCAATTGCCCTCGATCACTGAATCTCATATTTGTAGCGTGAACCACTCGAAAGGCGACGGCGACTGCTGCTTTCCTAATCAGCCCCTATCAGTAGTTATCGCTTTGCCACGCTTGATGTCCCCATCTCACCCTCTATATCACCTGCTAAAACGTACGCCCCGCTGATGCCGTGACCCGCGCTGTGAATGTGACGACCTCACCTTTCTAATGCCCCTTATCAAATCTTATCAGCAGCTTGCAGTTTTTGTGACCCACTAATGATGTTCTTGGCCCATACCCTATATCATATCTTACTAGGGAAGCTCAGGTCGAAGTGGCCATTTGTAATGAGATGTAGCTCACTAGACGTGGTTTTGGACGCTGATCTCGAATCTGCCTTCGAAATTTGCAGAACGATTCTCTGAACGGAGTTATGGAGCTTTTTCCACCGCGTTTACCACGCAACAGGTCGTGGGATCGGATCCCTGCTGAGCTTAACTTTTTTGCTTCTTGTGCAAACGTGGCAAAAAGTCTCTTCTACATTAGGCTCCTTACTTGCCCTGAAAAACAGTTCTGGTTGTTTCTTACTGGCTGCTTAGTGCCTTTATGATCTAGGAGAACTTTAGGATGTACAGGTGCCCTTGGCGCGCAGTGCAGACGTTTTCGCGCTGAGCGAGTGCCATATTCGTATTTATGGGGGCGAACTACGCCTAGGTAGAGGTTTTTAGCCAAATCTGCCATTTCGACCTGACTTTGAAAAGTGAAGCATCCATTGGTTAGTTCAACTGATGTTAACACCTATTCAGCTGCAGATACGTTCTCCTGCACAAAACCTCGTCTCCCCTCTTCTTACGCATTCATGTTGTTACTGCTCCAGTTTTCCTGGTATCTAAAAGCAAATCCCGTCCAAAGACAAGCAATCGACAAGAGACTGGCCCTGGAACTATTGATGACCATCATTCCATCAACTGCACCCGCACTTAAGCGGTTGGCGTCCAAACCTCACAATCTGGCTAGAAACCTGTCCCCAGGGTAGTTTTGCTCCCTGAACACGAATATGGCACCCATTTGGCGTTTGAGTGTTTTCTAGACTCAAAAGAGACATTCCCCACAAAATGCAAAACAAGTTCCCTTCCAGAAATCCGAACCCTTCATAGCATGCCCGCGAAGCAAGACCGTTACCACTACACAAAAACCCTACGCCGTGAAGCGTAATGTGCACTTCCCCGGCTATCAAGCAAGGGCCTGGCAACCCGCGCTCGACTGTTTTCCTTCATTTGAATTCTAACAGCTATCATAATTTCCGTTCATAGAATCGTTCTGCAAATTTCGAAGGCAGATTCGATCAGCGTCCAAAACCACGTCTAGTGAGCTACATCTCATTACAAATGGCCACTTCGACCTGACGACCTTCCCTAGTTAGAATCCCAAGAGCCACGATGCCTTCGACCGCATTATGAACATGGTGACCTCCTCCTTCTATCGTCTCTTATCGGATATTATCAACTGATATCACTTCCTGTCGCCTACAAATACTAGTGTCCCGTCACACCCCCTACATCACTTCTTGGAATCAATGTCTTACTGCTACTGGGACCGGCACTATGAATTTCATGACAACGAGACGGACGCACACACACACTACAGACTACTTTAAAGGGTTGCACGATGTTTTGGTTGTTCGCCTAAAATGCTCCTAAGGCTACTATAGCGGGAAATGACGAAGAACGGATGTGAAACGGTCAAGATCCTGCAAAAAAAACCTCCGTTATTCACCTGTATAGTACAATTTGGACGAGTTTCCGTAGGCATCAACAATCACCGAAGGTACGGCTGCAATCTGTACTCATATATCCATGCAGCATCACGGCCGCTTCATACCAATCCCTTCGCTTCATAATTTGCTTAGCAAATGAATCGATTAGAGCGTCAGGAACGGTCGTCCAAAAGTGGGCGGGCGGGCGAGGAAGGCGTTTGGGACGTAAAGTTGTTGCTCGATAGGGCGTTATAGGGGTACCCTCCTTGGAAAAGGCGCACGGAGCGCCTGTCCGAGGTCACGGAATTCTGTTAAGCCAGTTGTACAAATCCTACACCTGTATAGCGATTTATCGTGCCAACTGCCTTTAACGAATTATATAAAGTAGGATAGTAGGATAATCTTCCATCACCATCTAGAATAGCTGGTTCCTAAAAAACTTCCGGTGCCTGCAACTGAGAGATTTGTGAGATATCAGAGAAGATATTTCGTGCTCTTTCTGGGTTGTATTATGCGCATTAGCATCAGAGACGAAAAGTAATAACTCAGTAAGTCTGGTAAATAAGCTGGTAGCCGCCAGTTACTAACTGTAAACTACAGTTCAAACATGTTTCTTGAAGGTAATTGTTTGTTTTCTTCCTTTTAGGTGATCAGAGTGGACTGTAGTCGTCGCAGTTGCACCACTTCCAAGGCACTACCTAGTACGCTGTGTAATCTCAGTGGGGGAGAAGTTTTCCGATAGTTCATTACCCGTTTTGTTCTACAACACTTCCCCTCCCCCCTCCGCTGTCCGTCTCAATCAGAATTTAGGGACTTTTGGGAAACCAAGGAAAAGCAGCAATTTGAAAAGCGGTAAGACTGTAGGTAGGATGGAGAAGGGTTCGTACCAGAAGATTGGCGTGGGAGCTGCTCCGACTTGGGCAGTAGAGAGCGGTGCTGCATCTGGCCTCGAGAGCAACTCTTCCAACTCCGACGGGAACCTTCATCCCTTTTGCCACTCGACGCCAATGGTTTTTTTTTGTTGAAAGAAGAAGTGGAACGAATTTTTTTTGAAAACTGGTAGGGAGCTGGAAGGGTTCGGCAAGATGGCAGATAGGATGGAAAAAGAGGTCTTGCCGGAGGAGTAACTCACTGAACTTCATCGCTATGGCCTCGACATTTCACCCGTCTCTATATTCTGTT